GAGGTTGAGGTGAGTGGATTGCCTGAGCCCGCGGGTTCGAGACCCGCTTGGGCAGCGAGACTTCATTTTTCCAATAAATCAAAAAAAAAAAAAAAAAATCAGCCGGGCGTGGTAGCGCGTGCCTGTAATTCCGGCTACTCGGAAGGCTGAGTCGGAAGGATCGCCGGAGCCCAGCAGGTCGAGGCTGCAGTGGTCGGGAGCGGCCACTGCACTTTAGTTTGGGTGACAGAGTGAGACTCCAACTCAAAAAAAAAAAAAAAAAAAAAAAGATTTAAACAGCTGTTATCTATTTTATATATTGAAGACGGTAGAAAAAAGTGAGCATGTTAAATAGAAAAAATGGAAGATATTTTTAAAAGACCCAAATTGAATTTCTAGAGCCAGAAAATGCTTTGTGTGAGATGAAAAATGCACCGGAAGGGATTAACAGAAGATGATATGTTGCGGAAGAAAAGGTTATTGAACATGAAGACCTAGCAATAGAAACTATCCAAAATGAAACATACAGAGACAAAAAGGTTAAGAAAATAAGCACATCATTAGTGAGTTATGAAACAACAGCTCGATTGTGCTGTGAACTCTTCTTTGATTCTGGAAGCCTATATATAGCAGTAATCTACAGATTCTCAGTCCAAAATTGAAACAAGTTCTCCATTGCCTCCATATTTGCACATTGCGCCTTTATGACTCGATTTTTTCAGTTATCTATGTATATTCTTTTATCTTGTTCTTTGCCTTTACAATCAAATTTCCATTTGACCAGCTTCTCCAATATGTTTATCTCAAAAGTCATTGCTTTTGGCATCTTTAATAGTATTTATTTCTGTTTAATTTGCAGTATTTTTTAAAAGCTTTTTCCATTCTATGATACATTCCAGGATAAATTGCAGTATTAGTCCTTTCATTTTTTGACTTTCCATTTGTATTTTTATAAAATAATAAGAGAAAATTCGAATTGCCGTGCAAAATCTGCTTGTCCAAAATGACTTCATTGTAGGAATTGGAGGGTTGGCTGACAGATACTAGCTTGAAATGTTTGTTACTTTGTGTATTTAAGTCCAAATTCAGCACAAGGAAGATGGCTTGGATATGTTAATGTATAATGTATGACTGCACAGATTGTATAAAAATCAAATGGATAAAAGCTGAAAACCTCTTGTGAAATCAAATAACCCTGATATAAAGTAGAAAATAATGTATGCTATTAAAAGAAATTCAATTTAGAAGAGCTAGAGGAGTTATGGGAGATCAAGTAGAAGCAACACTGATGTGGGCCTTGAAAGATTGGTAAACAGCCTAGCTCGGTGGCTCAGCCTGGAATCCCACGCTTTGGGAGGCTGAGGTGAGTGGATTGCCTGAGCCTACAGGTTCGAGTCCTGCCTGGGCAACTTGGCGAGACCTCATCTCTACAATAAATCAAAAAATCAGCCAGGCGTGGTAGTGCGTGACTGTAATTGCGGGTACTTGGAAGGCTGAGGTGGAAGATCGCCGAGCCCAGAAGGTTGAGGTTACAGTGGCCAGGAGCGGCCATTGCACTCCAGTCTGGGCGACAGAGTGAGACTCCAACTCAAAAAAAAAAACAAAAACAAACAAAAAAACAAAAACAAAAAAGGACACACAATTCATTTACTTTCTTGGGGACTGGAGCTTTATTGGGTAAGAACTGAGAAGTTAAAACCTGTTGCTATAGGGATCTCAATGTTGGCATATCTCTATTCACAGTCTTGACCCACCCCTTGCTTGGACATCTCTCTCTTATTAACTTATGGGATTGTCCCTTTTGTCCTGTGCAGGTAATGGGGTAGAAATGTCCATCTCTAGACCATCATTTTTCTTTTTTTGAGTTGGAGTCTCACTTTGTCGCTCAGACTGGAGTGCAGTGGCCACTCCTCGCCACCACAGCCTCAACCTGCTGGGCTCCTGCAATCTTTCCACCTCAGCTTTCCAAGTAGCCGGAAATACAGGTGCGCGCTACCATGCCCGGCTAATTTTTGATTCATTGTAGAGATGAGGTTTCGCCAAGTTGCCCAGGTGGGTCTCAAACCCGCGGGCTCAGGCAATCCACTCACCTCGGCC